TTCAGGCATGAATAGGTCACCAGGCAGCAAAGGAGGACAAGGAGCCCCGGCAGAGGCTCAGCAGTGTGCAACAGCGAGCCTTGTTGGTAGAACTGCCTGCAGCCCAGCCAGCCTAGGACACGGCACCAGGGCAGGACAGAAAGGGCTGCATGCGCGTGGAGATGAGGCGGGAGAGGCAGACCCACCTGGGGACCTCCGTCCAGAGCAGCGATTTCTGGATGGGCAAAGGGCCAAGTTCTACCCCCAGGACAGTCCAGTCCCCCCTCCGGTGCCCAGAGAGGGTGGGGTTCTCCAGGAGAGTGGCTCATAATAATCACAGCGAGCACTTCTACAGCACTCTCTACGTAGGTACATTATCTCCAATTTTGCAGATGACAGGAAAAGACAGCACCTTCCCACCAACTCTCTAGCTACTTAACAGGTGGGAAGCAACCCAGGGAGACATCTGGTCACCTGTCCTCGGTCTCACCTATCTCTCCCACCATGTCTGGGTCTGACCTGCGTTTTGCGTGTGTGAGACCTCTCTGAGCTGCCCCAGTGTGGCATGTGGAGCCCTGGACTGATGGAAGGCCTGGGTTCTGGTCCCTGCCTTGCTGGGTGACCTCGAGGCGGTAGAGTAACCTCTCTGAGCCTCAGTTTACCCTTCTGGGAATTGGGGATTCTAGCCGACTGCCTTATCTCCGGATCCAGTTCCAATGAATCTCCCGGGTGAGCAGATAAAGAGGGCTTTTGCAAAGTACAAAGAGCTGTACTCACAGCGGTGAGATGATTATTGTTACTTCGATGTGGAGATAAGGGAGGGGGAGGTGCAGTGACAGTTGCCAAGAAACCCAGGAGCTGTCAGCAGCTTCCGGCCTGGCCCATCCCACTCAGGAGCCTGGCCACTGGGCCCGCCCCCACACCCCTGCTGCACCCTTTCCCTGGGAGAGATGGGTGTTCCGAGAGGGAAGGGAGCTGGGGCCAGCTGGCTGGTGGCCACGTACCTGCAGGGCCTGAAGGTGACCCAGGAATGTGTCTGGGTTGGCTCCAGGTTGACTCCAGCTTTCTCTGTGACCTTGAGCAAGTCACCTCCTCTCTGGCTACCTCCTTTTTCCTTGTCCAAGTGTCCTGTATCTGTAGGCAGGTGTCCAGGCCAAACAAGGCAGGATTAATGCTGGACCTGGGGAAGATGCTTGGCAACGGCTGCAGAGCCAGGACCTGCGAGGGGGAGGCCACTGGGGGCCAAGGCTAGGCAGCAGGACTGAGCCCCGGGGTGGAGAGCGGCTGTGATCTGGGTAGTAAAAGAGCTCTGGGCTGGAGTCACACCTTGACATGTCCCTTTCCTTGGTATGACCTTGGGCTTGTCACTTAACCTCTCTGAACCTCAGTTTTCCTATTTGGCCGTGCCCTGGCAGGGGAAGGCATGCCCCAGGCCCTTCCAGCTGCTCCAGGTGCAGGAATAAGGCAAAGCATTTTAAGCTGGGTCAGGCCGTAGCATCAGGAAGGTTGTGAGGGGAGTGGGGAGGGGCAGAGGCTTGGGGACCTCATATGAATGGAACGGTAGAGACCAGGAGGAGTCAGGGGTGGGACAGGAGGGAGAGGGGAGAGCAGGGAGGTTCAAGTTCATGAAGAGGGAGGAAAATGACCGAGCTGGGGGAGGTCTGTAGAGGCCAGAGGCAGAAGGGGAGGGAGAGAGGGGCTAGAAAGGTGGGGAAGAGATGGTGAGAGGTGAGGAAGGCTGAGAAGAGGAGGAGGAGGCTAGAGGGGTGGGGAGGGGCCGAGGAGCTCAATCTATTCATTCCCTCAAAAGTTATTTACTGAGCCCTGGTCGGTTTGCTCAGCGATTGGAGCGTCAGCCCGCGGACCAATGAGTCGAGGTTTTGATTCCGGTCAAGGGCACGGACCTCATTTGCGGTTTGTCCCTGGCCTTGGTCGGGTCGTGCAGGAGGCAACCAATCCATGTGTCTCTATCACATCGATGTTTTTCTCTCTCTCTCTCTCCCTCCCTCCCACTCTATCTGATAATAAGTGGGAAAATATCCTTAGGTGAAGAATAAAAAAAAAGTTATTTACTGAGAAATTGCTGTTTACTAAAAGGCAGTCTAGTGGAGCGTTAGGGCACAGCATCTAGACCTGGGTGGTCAGGGTTCAAATCCTCTGTATTTCATCTACACTTACTGTCAGCATGACCATGGACAAATTGCTTAACCTCTCTGTGTCTTAGCCCCTCCTCTGCAAGGTGAGGATTAGCTGAGCCACAGCGTGGAGCAGCTGAAGCCGAGCCTGCCCGCGTGCTCGGTCCGCGCCGGCTGCTGCTGTTCCGGTGACTGTCCCTCTCCAGTGTGCCGGCCGGTCCACAGCCCTGGCTGCCCGCCCTGAGACTTTCAGATCTGGGGCTCTGGACGGACAGTTCTGGGCTCAGACTCCTGCTCTGCCTCATGAACTGTGTGACCTTGGGCAAGTTAAATACCTTTGTGAGCCTGTTTCCTTGCATTTGGTACGTGTCTCCTGGGGGAGCGATGAGGATGAAACAGGGTCGTGCAAGGCACCAATCGGCTGTGCGTCTGCTCTTACTGCCTTTCCATCCCTCTGCAGGGATGATGGGAGTGGGCAGAGCCCAGATGCCTCTGTTCCCTGGGTTCCTTTCCTTCCCCTGCACTTTAGCGCCTCAGCATGACCTTTTAGGTGGAATTGCCTGGGGGAGGGGGGAGGGGAGCAGGGCCGGGCACTTCTTGTAAGGAACAGGACTCTGGCCAGCCAGGAGCTGGAGAGCTGAGGGCCTGGGGGCTGGGTCCTGGACGGAAGCCAGCACCCCCATGTCTTCAGAGGCCCTAGTTCTGTGCCAACATGAACAGTCCTGACTGGGATGGGCACCTGGCATGGGGAGACTGAAGCTGAGAAGGTTCTGGAAGGGGAGCATATTAGGGAGCTGCGGCCAGGCTGACCTGCAGTGACCACTGTGTGAGCCTGGGGGCGTGACAGGGGGACGACAGAAGGACAGCACCCACATAGCTCCATCATGGGCAGCAACCTCCACTGGGCAGCCAGGGCCACACCAGAACAGTGGTCCCTACCACCAAGGGGGCCCAGCCTCACCTGAGCTTCCACTCCAGGACTTCCTGGCCCTGGGCACCCTCTGCTCTCCATCCCACTGGCCCAGCCAGGGGCATGAGCTTTAAATTCTGGCTATGTCAGCCACTTGCTAGGGGAAGTGGCTTTACCTCTCAGCCTCATTTTCTCCCATCTGTAAAAAGGGGGATAAATAATGCCAACCTTCTAGCTCTGCGGTGAGGGTAAAACATGCTTGACACGGTTACAGCACACAGTAGGTCTCAACAGTCCCCATGGCAGCCACAGTAGAATTTGTCTGGACCATTTCTAATTTTTAGAGAGAGGGAGAGAGAGAAACATCAGTGAGAGAGAGAAACATCAGTCGGCTGCCTCCTGCACGTCCCCTACTGGGGATCAAGCCCACAACCTGGGCATGTGCCCTGACTGGGAATCCAGCCGGGACCTCTCAGTCCATGGGGCGACGCTCAACCACTGAGCCACTTCCGTAGGCCTCTCTCTAGCCTCTCGTTCCCCGTCTCTCCCCGCATCAGCACATCTTGCCATCTACAGGAACCTATGTTTAGGCTGCTTCCTTGCTCACAAACCTTCAGTACCTCCCTATGGCCAATCTTCATTGAGTCATTCACTATTCAACACATACTTAATGAGATCCTAACTTGGGGAGCCAGAGTTTACCATGCATGCATGAATATCAAAGAATTTATTGAGTGAATAACTAGTAGCTGCCCAGGCTCTATTGTTTTTTTTGGAAACTGAGGCTGAGAGGAGTGTGTCACTTATGGTCACACAGCAGTTAAGTGCCTGGGGATACCTCCCCCACACTGATGTCACAGGCTGGAAATGCCACCATCACCATATCCATCCTTCTGGGTCAAGACCCTCCTTTTACGATGCACCCCGGGAGGTGGAGAGGCATCTGCGGCAGGGCTGTGGAGCAGCTGGGCCGAGGGGAGACAGCAGGGGGCTGAGTTCCTTAGGGTCTCCTTCCTGGGCCAGTCCTGTAGGCTCATCCCCTCTTGGGGTGTGGCACCCCAGCTTCACCTGACTCAAGCAGCTGAGGCTCACCTGGCGGCCCGCATGATGCATCCTCTTGGTTGCTGGGACCGGGATGGGGATACAGCCATGTCAGGGTGGCCCTAGGCAGCCAGTGGAAGCCAGGCCTGCTCCCCAGCCCTGGGACCCCTGGGTTGCAGGAACCACTGCGCACTTCCTTTCCCTGACCCTGGAGGTGGCCTCCTCAGCAGGCTTTCTAGGGTGACACAGCTGACTTCACCCTTACCAGACCAGTTTCCTCAGGGAGGGGCATGGGTGTAGGCACAGAGTCTGGGCTTGCAGGTGGTTAGGCCTCAGATGCTGGCCCTGCTGCTGACCAGCTGTGTGACCTCTCATGCGTCTGGGTCCTTATCTGTCAAGTGGGAATAGCAGTGTGCTGAGCAGTCTGTGCCCTCGGGCCTGGAGAGTGGGGCTTGGCACAGGGCCTGGCACACAGTAGGCCCAATGAGTGTCAGATGCTGTTGCGTGACCTCTCAGCCCTAAGGCTGCTGTCTCCCTGAAGGCTCAGGGAGGGGTCCATAGAGACCGGAGAGCCCTGCTTAACCCTGCTTAAGCCAGGGCTCAGCCATCTACAGCACCCCTCACTGTCCCCTGCCTCAGTCTACCCATCTTCAGAATGGGCTGTGGACATCCTCTTGGCCGGAGCATGGGTAAGGGAGGCGGAATGGAGAACTTGGGGAGAGACCCTGTTCACATCTCTGCTCTCTGGGGGAGGAGAGCCGGTTTAGCAGCCCTGCTAAGAAGCTTCTCCTCTTCCTCCTCCTGGGGAACCCAGTACCCTCATGGAATCTGTCTCCCCTCACGTCCCCCAACTCTGAGGTTGCTTCTTCCTCCCGAAGTTTACAAATCTCCCAACTTGAGGCTCTCCCTGACCTCAGGCTCTTTTTCTCTTCCAGGAGGAGTGATGGGCAGAACCAGCGCTTCCCCCAGGCACTAGACCTGCCACGAGTGGACTTGGTCTCCCTACACACTACTTCACTCTACCCAAAGGTAAGTGCACCCCCACCCCTGGTCCGGAGACCCCCAGGGCTGAGAGATGCCTAAGAATGACTACTGGGCAAAGGTAAATGTTCAGGCTACCGGTCCTCACCCCTGGGTGGTCCTGGTAAAGCCTCAGAGGTTGAACAGGGGTCTGTAGCATGGCTGGGGGTGGGACAGAAAAGCTGGAAATAAACTGGCCCCAAGTATTCTTTTTTAAAAAAAAGATTTTAGAGAGAGGAAGGGAGAAAAAGAGAGAGAGAGAAACATGGATGTGAGAGAAAAACATCGATTGGTTGCCTCCCACACGCGCCCTGCCTGGGAATTGAACCCGCAACCTGGATATGTGCCCTGACCAGGAATCAAACCCACAACCCTTCGATGTACAAGATGACGCTCCACCCATCTGAGCCACACTGGCCAGGACCCAACTATTCTTCATTATCTTCATCATGAACATCACCATCAGTTTCCTCATCTATAAATTGGGTACAATGACAGTACCCACTTTACAGGGCTGTTGTGAGGATTAAATGGAAAAGTATAGATAAAGCATTCCATACACAAGACCTGGCACAGAGTAAAAGCCCTATAAATGAAGCTATTGTTGTTATCATCGAAATCAAATGTTCACTCAGTACCTGATTTGTATCAGACTTTGTGCTGGGTGCCAAGCAGCCAGAAATGAACTAGACGCAGATCCTGCCCTCAAGAAGCCAAAGCCCAGTTTAGAGAGAAATAATTAAACTTATGCAGTGTCAAATACTGGTAATAACGGTTAGCATTGACTGAGATTTACTGTGGACCACGTGGGTACTTAATGCTTTACATAGAGTATTTCATTTCATCCTCAAACTGTAAGTACTATGTGCTAGCTACTATCATTAGTCCCATTTTGCAGATGAGAAAATCAAGGCCCAGAGAGGTTAAGCTACTTGTTCAAAGACACACAGGTAGGCTGTCATGGGGTCAGGACTGGAACTCAGGCTGTCTGACCAGAGTGCGTGGTCTCGTGGCCTCTCTAATGCGAGGATCATAAGCCCTCGCTTTACAGTTTCTAAAGCACGTTCACAGACATCATGCCTCTTGGTCCTTTCATTAAACCTCAGGTGGTAGGCATTCTCCAGATGAGGAATCAGAAGCTCAGAGAGGTGAAGTGGTTTCCCAAGGTCACACAGCCAGGACATAGCAGAGGCAGGATCTGCCAAGCTCCTCTCCCAGCACTCTGGCCTGGAACAAGGGCCATGTTCTTCTAGGCTGGGAGGATAGACGGCCTTGTGGGGGCCACCACCACCAAGGGAGTCCCAAGTGGGGGTCCTGTGAACAGTGTCAGAGGACCCTCCCTGCTCTTTGGGCCTGGGCAGCAGCCCGAGGTGAGCTATGTGGGTCCTGGGGCTTGGCAGGAAGGAGTGACTCGATGGCAGCTGGGCCCGTGAGTGAGCATCTGGGAGGAGGCCTGGGTTCTCACCAACATCTGTGTGCCCTTGGACCATAGCTTCTCCTCCCTGGGCCTCAGTCTTTCCCTCCATCAGGAAAATGAGGGTTGGAACAGCCCCAAGAAGGCCTTAGGCTGGCCTTGGATTAGTTCCGAGATGCCTCCCCTTGGGTTTCCTGGCCTACAGCCAGTCTGTCTAGAAACCTCCTTTTGTGCCAGCACAGCCCAAATAGCAGGCTCCCAACAGCCGACCCCTACCCCAGAATCTTGATAGTCTGTGGTTCATCCTCCTTTGACAGGGGTGGAAACCAGGGTCCAGAGAGATTGAGGGATTCGTCTGGATCCCCCACAAACCAGTGGTGGCACTGAGGGAACCAGGCCTGTGACACATTGCCCACCCCTCCCCCACACCCCTAACTCTGCACACATTTATAATGTTGAGGATTCAATTTGAGGGGCAGGAAATCTCCCTGTGTCGGTGGGCAAATCTCTGCCCCTCTCTGGCCTTAGTTTCCTCACCTGTAAAATAGAGGTGACAATTCCTTCTCTATCCACTTTGCCAGCTTGCAATTGAGTGATGACCTTGCAAGTAACTGGAAAGTAGAAATCAAAAGCTGAACTATTATCAGCATTGTATGTTCCCAGGGTAGGACAGAACACACAGAAAGGACTCTCTTCATTGGGGAGCTACACTTGAGATGCCCAGGACCCTCCTACCCTGCCCCCTTATAGGGGGTCTCTTCACTCGGGGATTCAGAAATCTGCACAGATGTACGTACATAGCCTACTCACATTTATGTACAAGGACACAATCACATGTCTGCACATGTATTCAGAAACTTGCACATGTATGCATGCAAGCATGTACAGATACATGTACAAACATACATACCCACCATGTCCAGGCACACAGTCACTTCTGGTCTCAGTCACATATACACATATAGCTGCATGCACATGTGTGTACCCCCTCCACTCTGCCTGGCACACAGGCATCTCCGGTTATACGAGCAGGTCCTGCCTCTTCCCACTGTGGGAATGAATGTTTCTCTGGCTGCTTTTTGCTGGGTGCCCGGAAGCGCTCAGGCCTGGAAGTGCCTGCATAAATCAATATTTGCTGCTGTTAATTATTAAAAACAAAGCTACCCTGTGTCTGGTACACACATCTCTGGAGTTCCCGCCGGCTCCCCGGGCTCCAACCTGACCCAGGGCCAGGTCTGGGGGAAAGGAAGGCGCAGTGCCTTCCTTCCTGGAGCCCTTGGCCCTGGAGATGGAGGGTGGTGGGCAGCTACCAGCAGTCCCTTCAGGATGAAGAGAGGTTGGGCACTAAGCTGGTGGGCAGCCCTGCCCCTGCAGGGTCCAAAGCAGCTGGTGTTGACTTGGCCACAGCTTAGGAAGCAATTGCTGCTTTCCCAGCAACTTTTTGGGAAGGGGGTGCTGAGGCCCCAGCCCTGCTCCCACTGTACCATGGCAGGCACAATGCAGGGTCAGCTGGAAGGGCCTGCAGAGGCCTTATATTTTACAGATGGGAAAACTGATGGCAACAGAAATGGCAGGGACTCACTCAAGTTCACTCAGCAAGTTGTAGCAAGGCCACAGCTAGAACCCATATGTCCTGAAGTCTGCTCCACATGGTGGGGCCTTGGCAGCCCCTACCCAGGCACTGTGGTTGTCTGCTTCAGGGTCAGGGGCAATTAGGATGGAGGTGGGGTAGGCAGAGCCAGGTATGGCATGGGGCCTGGAGAAGGGAGAGAACAGGCCAGCCACTGTCAGGCATCGGGGGACAGGAGAGGAGGAAGGAGGGGAGGGCGGCTCCAGGCCTTTCCTTGGGTTCCTAGTTCTGCCTTTCCTAGCGGTGTGATCTTGGGCATATTTCACCTCTTGAAATCAGTTTTCTCTTCTGTAAAATGGGGATGATACTTGTATTTCCGGGGTTGTGAGGAGAGGATGAGATTTGCCAAGGGCCCAACATTAAGTAGGTGCTCAAGAAAAGTCCTCTGTCTCCAAGGTAACCCTCTTCTTATCCTGCCTGACTTCACTGCTGGTTCCAAGAACCCCGTCCCAGAGGCCCTGAGCCGTGGTACCCAAAGTCTAGGAAGATAGAGAAGGCGGTGGGGGGGCGCGCTACGGAGAGTGGGGGTGCCAGAGAACCCAGTGCGCTGAAATCTTCAAGCGCTCCAGCAAGTGCGCGCAGGCGCAGTGTCCGGGGAGCCGCGGGTCGGGCCGCTCCAGGGGGCGGGGTCTCCTGTGTCCCCGCCCCGGATCTCTGCAGCCCCGCCCCGGGCCCGCGCCGCCCGTACCTGGCGCCCCGCCCCCTCCGGGCCCGGCCGCCCGGCGAGCCCAGCGCAGGCAGCGCGCCGCCGGGAGCCGGAGCCGGAGTGCGGAGCTGGGCGCTGCGGGGCCCGGGCCGGGGCGCGCGCGGGCCGGAGCCGGCTGGACCAGCTGAAGTGCCACCGGGGCGGAGGCTGGAGCTGGGCCGGCCTTGGGATGGCGCAGCTGCGGTCCCTGGCGCCCCCCGGCCGTCCCCGAAGGGGCTCGCTGCCCGTTGGGGCCAGCTGGCAGGTGAGGACCAGGGCGAGGTGGCCTGGCCGAGGGGCTCTGCGGGAGCCGCCGGGTCAGCCCGACTTCCTCGGAGCCCGGCAGGCTCTGCCCCAGCCAGGGCGCGTGTGCGAGGCTCCGTCATGGAGGGTGTGTTAGCTTCTGGACTGACACCCTGCCACGGCGGCCACAGGGCACACCCCTCCCTGCCCTAGGGTCCCGGGTCTTGGGCTCCTTCTGCTGCTGCCCACTAAACAGAGTGCCCGTGGTGGCACTGTGGCTGTGAGCTACAGTGGCTGTGTGTGTGTGTGTGTGTGTGTGTGTGTGTGTGTGTACTAGCTTTGGGACCGTTTTGTTCATCCCTGGCCCTTTTAGGATGGTCTAAATGTTACAGTGTAACTTTGCGTGATGCTCTGGGCCACTTGGTTCACAGCCGTCCATGTGTCAGGGTGTCTGCTGCTCCTGTGAGGCTGTAACTGTGGGTGTCACTTGTTGCTGTGTTCTGTGCACTCTGGGTGACAATACCATGTGTCAGTGTTTATGTGGCTGCATTTATGTGACTCCCAGTGCATTGTTCCTAGCCATGTTAGGTCACCCTGAGTGGTGTGCTCTGGGGGACATCAATGCGCCCTTTCACTGTGCTGAGCTGAAGTTGTGTGGGCTAAAGATGCCGATGCTGCTGTTGTACAGGGTGTTGAGTTGACAGGCATGTTTGTCTACCTGCACTGCAGGTGTATGTCTGGTTTCTGCTGTAACTGTTTGTGAAATTGTATCATCCAAGCTCAGAAGTGTTGGGTATGGTCATAGGTGACCATGGGTCAGTGTCTCCTGTGGACTCCTGTGGTGCATTTCATGGGGTGAGTTTTGCCCCTGTGGTCAAACCTTAGACTGTACACATGAGGTGTTTGTGTCCAGTGATTTTTAACAGAGCTGTGTGTGCGTGCATGTGTGTGTGAGAAATGGATGGTGTGTACTTGAGTGGGTGTGAGGATCAACCTGTGTCCCTCACCCTTGGTGAATAACCACTCTGCAGTTGCGGTATGCTTTTCCTTTTTCTCAAAACTCATCTAATGTTGTGGGATCAAGTCATTCATGTCTGATCCACAGGGTGTGACTCCAGTGAGGAAAATACGTGGGAGTGGGGCTCTGTAGCTAAGTTTCCATGAACGTGCCTGCCTGTATCTGCGAGTGCATGTTATTGTGTCTCCACCTGCAGATGTGAGAGTGGTTTTGTGGTGTTCGTGTAGCTTCACGTGCATTTACTGGTGTGCAGGTCTGCATGAGGTGGGTTTGCATGTGTGTGTGTAGTTCTTGTACATGGACCTAGGTGTGTGTGAGAGTGGATGTACTGTTGTGTGACTTAGGACACCATTATGGATACTTGCCGGTTAGCATATAGCTTTGAGTCTAAGAATTGGTGTGCACAGACCCTGTGGGTTTGTGTGTGTTTGCTTTCTTTGGTACAGTGAGACTGTTTAAATATTGGTGTGTAGGCCTTTGCGTGTATGTTTGAGCAAGAGAGAGAGAAAGTATGTGTTTCCTGGTGCACAATCCCATAGCACATGTGTATGAGCTCAGGTGGTGCCCCCACTGGGCAGCAGGAGCTGGGAGGGGTTGAGGGAGGGGCACCATCCTGGAGACTCTGGGGGCTTCCCAAGCCCAGCCCCCAGCCCCACCAGCCATAAAGGATGCCGCCTTCCAGGAAGGCTCACAGGGAGTTGGCGCTGGAGAGACTGAAGCTGCCAAGGCAGCTGGCAGATGCCCGATTAACCCTGTGTGTGCCCTGGCTGGCCTCAGGAGAGGCTGTCTGTGAGGGGTGAGGGGTGCCTGTGGACTCGCACATGTGTGTTGGGCCAGTGGGAAATCCCAGCATCCTCTCCCCCAACAGTCCCCAGCCCAAACTGCTTGAGGGATCCTCCTGAGGGTCCCAGCTAAGCTCCTCTTTGGGGCTGGGACTTGGGGCTCTTCGGAGGCGTGCATGGGTTGATCCTGGCACTGCCAACCTTGTAGTGACATGGGGAGCTGTGTCTTTCCCCAAGGGTCACATCCCTCTGTCTGAGGCACCAGCCTCCTCCTCTGGGGAAGAGGACCGAGTGGGGTGTGCTGCCCCGCAGGGGTCCAGGCTCCAGGTTCAAGGTGGTTGGTCAGAGCTGGGGGGACCAGGATGGATGGGTTTAGTGTGGACTTTTTGGGGGCTCAGCTGGTCCACACTGAGGACTGACCTGCTTTCTCTCCATCTCTCTTGCAGAACACAGATCTCTTTGAGATGATTGAAAAGATGCAGGTGAGGTTAGATCCGTTGCCCATTCCTGGGAGTCACAGATGGGGCTGGGCTGGGGGTGGGGGCCCTTGCTGTATCTCCAGCCTTACACCTCTCTGAAGATAGGCCAGGAGCCCTTGGCGCACCGTGCAGGGACATGGTGCAGTGTGTTGTCCAGAGCCCTCTGTCCAGCGTAGAGGGTGGGGACCGGTAGTGCCCAGGGTAGGAGCCCAGGTGCCACTTGTGTCTCCTCACTTCCCATTGCTGTGTAGGTCCCCAGCAGAGCTGGGGTCCCCTTTTCAGCCTACCCCCAAAGAGACATTACAGACTCTGCAGGACCCCCAGGTAAAATGGGAGGAGGACACGGCCAGGGCAACCAGAGGCTGTGCTGCAAGTAGCGGGAGGTGTTGATGAGCCAGGCAGCCCCTGCCCTCCTGTCCACCCTCCACTCCCCATCCCTGGGCTTCCAAGCCCTTGTCTGTTTTTTGCATGGGTGTGTGTTGCGAGGTGGGCAGGGGCGCTGGGGGACGTGAAAAATCCACAGGAGCTTTCTTTGATGTCAATTTGCCCTCCAAACCCTCTCTCCTGCTCCTTTCTGTTGCTCTGCCTCTCTTACGTGGTCTTTCTGTCTCCATTTCTCCCCTCCTCCTCTCTCTTTCCTTTTCTCTCTCCCTCTCTCCCTCTCCCTCTCCGGGTCTCTCCCTCTCTCCCTCTCTCTCAACAACACGTATCTGTGTAGATGCAATAGCCTCCCTCCCCAGCTCCCCACACTTACACACAGGCATGTGCACACCACCCCTGCCCCCACTCCCAGCAGCAGGCATTCCTGCACAGAGCCCCCAGCCCCTCCCCGCTGCTGCCGGCCTCCCACAGCCCAGGTTACCAGCAGGACAGCCAGCCCTGCAGAGGCCTGAGTAACCGAGCACCCTGCTCTGGGAGTACCCCACATCGGTGGGCCTTCCCCTTCTACACAGGAAGGGCTGTGGGCCCAGGGGAGGTGGCCCTGCAGCAGCACTCGGGGGGTGCGAAGGGAGGAAGGGGTGTGACAGGAGGTGTTGCCCTCTCTTTGCAGGGAAGCAGGATGGATGAACAACGATGCTCCTTCCCACCACCCCTCAAAGTAGGTCTGAACCACGACCACCCTCCCCTTCCTTGGGCTTCCTGAGCAGCCTCTCCAAAGGGCTTGGGGACCTGGACAGGGATGGGAAAAGGGGGCAGACTCCCTCCCTCGGGTAGGAGTGTGGCCTGGTAAGTCCTGCCACAGCTTCCTACCCAAGCAGCCAGCCCAGGAAAACCCACCCCTTTCATGAAGTAGTCCTCCTGCGGGCTGGGTGCTGGGGTACCAGCTCCGGCCTTCTAGTTCTGAGATGTGCAGGACCCCTCCCTTGCTGTGGGCCTGAGGCCTTCATTCCAGCTCCTCCCCACCTGTCTTCACCCCTGCAGACTCACCTTGCCTCCCCGGGCTTCCCCACGCGGAGGAAGCCCCGCCCCTCACAGGACAGCTGTGTAAACGGTTTTCCTGGAAGCCAGTTAAGACGAGCAGTTGTAGGAAGACTCAGACCAGGACCCAGGAAGCTTACGCTCTCCCGCTCCCTGTGGCTCCCCCGGAAGGCTGAGGGGCCGGGGATGGGGGAGGGGTGCCCTGCTGTCCCCACCAGCCTCCCCTGAGGAGACTGACAGGGCGCCGAGGACTGAAGGAGATTCAAGGAGGCTCTTGTTTAGATTCAAAATTTTCTTGGCAGGAACGGCATAGCCCCTCCAAGTAGGCATAAGGTTCTATGGTTGGTGATGGGACCCCAACCATCCAAGAAGAATGGCAGCTGGGCCTGGGGGGTGGGCTCAGGGCTGCAGGGTGAGGATTATAGGTGGGTCATGGGCATAAGCCTGATGCTTTGTCCAGGGCGGGGGTTTTCAAAGTCTGGTCCGCACACCAGCCCCATCAGCACCGCCTGGGAGCTTGTGAGAATGGAAATTCTCAGGCCCAGCCAGGCCCAGGGCATCAGAAACTCTGGGGGTGGCATCTGTTTAATGAGCCCCCCAGGCCATTCTGATGCACTGACAACCACTGATCTGGAGGTTCCTTCTGGGGTGGCAGTGAGCCTCCTCCCCGGGCAGGACGAGGCCCAGAAGGGGCCGCCAACACTCAGTGAGCAAAGCCTGCTTCAGCCCCAGCCTCCTGGGGTTACCTGTGAGGTGGGGAGGTGAGGTCCCGGCCCCATGCACACTCCCAGCCCGGAGGAGAACAAAGGAGCGTTCTGGGGAGGCTGGAGGTCAAGGTGTGGACCCCTTCTCAGCTGGGCCCTGGCTCTGCTTGTGTTTTGCAGACGGAGGAGGACTACATTCCCTACCCAAGTGTCCACGAGGTAACCAGCTGGACCCCCCTGAGCCCATCCTCACCCCAAGGAGTCGGGATGCCCTGGTCCTCCTCCCTGTCAGGAGTCTAACCACCGTGGAGCTGGAGCTCAGTGTATAGCCCAAGACTTCAGAGCCCATTTGAACCCAGGGCCTCTGGGCCAAACATTTCAGCCTCTCTGCCAAGGTCATGCTCCCAGCTCTACCTGCCCCACCCTGTCCTTTGGGAATGGGACTTGGGGCTCCGTGTGGTCTGGGACCCATGTAGGCTCAGGGTTGTCCCTAGTACTCCTTAGGTCTGAGTTGTCCTGGGACCCCCGGTGGGGTGTAGTGTGGGTAGCTCTCAGCTGAGTCCCCCTTCAGGTCCTAGGGCGAGAAGGGCCCTTCCCCCTCATCCTGCTGCCCCAGTTTGGGGGCTACTGGATTGAAGGCACCAACCACGAGATCACCAGCATCCCGGAGACAGAGCCTCTGCAGTCTCCCACCACCAAGGTGAAGCTGGAGTGCAACCCCACAGCCCGCATCTACCGCAAGCACTTTCTCGGCAAGGTGGGTGGCCCACTGGCATTGGGGGCTGGGCCTGGGAAGGAGAGAACCCTTGGGCTGGGCCTGGTGACAGTCCCAGAGCTCTGAGTGTCAGGGAGCAGGCATGGTGGATTCACTCATTCATTCAACACACATCTATTGCAAAAGGCAGGCCTGCGGCATGGTGGTCACTAGCAGACATGCCTGGTCCAACTTGTCAGTGTCACCCAGAGTGTTCCAAGCAACAGTTATTGGGCAAGTTTGGGGGAGCTGGAGGGGAGGCCCATGCTGGGACTCTGTGTGTGCCTGGTTCCACACCGGGTGCTGTTGCGATGTCAGTTTTCTCTGAGGTGACGGGTCACAACATGGGCTCTAGGATCTCAAGGCCTGGGTGGGAATCTTGGCTCTTCCATTTATTAATGGTGTAGCCTTGGGCAAGTTATTTACCCTTCCTGAGCCTATTTTCTCATCTGTAGAAATGAGATAATAAAGTATATTAAAGCAACAAAAACCATGCCTGGCATAGAGTAAATACTTCATAAATGCTAGCTGTTATTATTACATCTTAATTACTCTGTGAGGTCAGGATTGTCCTAGATTTTCAGAAGAAAAAACTGAGGCTCAGAGCGGTAAAGCAACTTGGTCAAGGTCACACAGTTACCGAGCTAAGAATTGGGCCTCGCTCTGGCTGACCTTCCATCAAGACACGCTGTGGGAATAGACAACTGTAGTGTACTATCATTATGTAATGTGCTAAATGCCGCTACAATAGCAATCATGTTACAATATATGGATGTCAAAGTAACATGTTGCACACCTTAAGTTTATACAGTTACACGTCAGATATATTGTTAAAGGGCATGCTGTGGGAGGGGTCATGTGGCTCGGAGTGTGTGTGCACATGCAAGGATGTGTGTGTTGGAGGAGGGGTGATTTCTTGGGGAGTTGGGAGCTGTGTGACCTTCGTCTGAGCCCAAAGCATTGGCCTGACCCTGGGGGGTGTTGATGCTAGGTTGGGAGGAAAAGGGGTGGCGTCCACTGTGACTAAGACTAAACCTGCAGGCTCGGGTTCAGGAGCCATTGCCTGGGGCCAGAGCCAGTCCAGGGCCTGGAGGTCCATCTCCAGCTGAGACCGGCATCCTGGCGCCCACTGTCCAGAGGCCTGGCAGGTGTGGGATCTGGGGGACTCTGTGGGCCTAGCACACAGCTGGCACTCAGAAAAGTTTGCTAGGGAGTGACAAGTGACAAAAGTGCCTCGAGCACAGAAGGATCTGAGGAGGTACAGGTTGCGCGTGATGACCAGAGTCAGATTAGCAACACAGGGAGGAGGGGACCATGTCCTGACTCCAGGGGGGTGACTGGGGAAGCACTGGGGCCTGTTCTGGCAGAGGGGGAGGTCAGGGTGACTTTGGGCATTGACTCCCCAGGACCCTGAGCCCAGTCTCCCACTGTGCCGCTTGGGCTCCTTGGGCCCCTTGGGCCGAGGCACAGGGTCTGGGGAAGCTCCCCGCCCTGAGGACAGGCGCAGCCCTCCTGCCAAGTACCTGCCACTCCCTCTCTGCAGATGGTGCCAAGCGTTTGGGGTTTTCTGTCACTCTGTGCCCAGGCAGCACTGAGGGGGACACTCTCCCCCAGGTGCACTCAGGCTGTCCCTGAGCTGTGGCTTCGTGGGCACATCCCCTGGTCCCTGCCTCTTTCTCCGCCTGCTCTCTGAGCACAGGTGCTCATGTTTAAACAGGACTTACTTCCAGGATGACTCCTGGGGTGGGTGTGGCTGGGGAGCCAGCCCCACTCCCAGGGCTGGGGCTGGCAGGGAGAGCCCAGGGCCAGGCTGGGGTGCAGTCTTCCAGACTCCTGGCCCTTGGCTTTGCCCCCCCGCCCCCCGAGATACCAGCCCTGCGCTCCTCTCTAGGTGAACCGTGCCCGCAGCAAACTCCCCTTGTGCCCTCTGGGATATTGCTTCCCTTTCTTCCCCCCTGCAGCTTCTTTTCCCGGTGAGGCAGGAGGGTGGGAACCTGCCTGGTCAGCCGCCCAATGTGCTCATGAGATGTTTCACTTCCTGTTTCTCACCAGCCCTGGCTTCAGGGGCCACAGGTTGAGCAATCAGTCAGTCAGCGTGATTTTTGTTGAGCCCCTACTCTGCTCAGCGCTGAGAAGGGCCGGGCTGGGCCACAGACATGGAGATACAGATGTGGTCCTGACTTTGGTGGGAACCCAGAGAGCCAGGGTTTCTATAAACATTCATTCAACTCCTACTCTGTGCCAGACACTTGATCCCTTTCAGTCCCTCCCACCATCCCACAGTAGGAGGCTCCCTTCTGTTTTATAGACCAGGAGACTCTGAGGCACAGAGAGGTGAGGTGACCTTCTCAGGCTACCCAGCTGGCAAGAGGCAAAGTGGGATTTGAACACGGGTATATATCTGGTGCAGTCTGCTATTAGCTGTGACACCTGCTGCTGGGTGAAGGACCCCCATCTAGGAATGAGTTGGCTTTCTGGTCTGGTTTCCAGAAACCCCAAGATCAGCTTCACCCACTCCCCTGGCCCCCACCTTCCCCCACAGGAACATTTCAATTACTACTCACTGGACACTGCCCTGGGCCACCTTGTCTTCTCACTCAAGTATGATGTCATCGGGGACCAGGAGCACCTGCGGCTGCTGCTCAGGTGAGGGTTGGGTGAGAGACCCTGTGGTCTTATGATCTGAGCACTCGCCTCACTTTACCCAGTCTTCTCATTAAAGCCCAGAGAGGGCCAAGGATTTGCCTGAGGTTGCACAGCATGTTAGTGCCCGAGCCGGGCCTGGCCCCCATCATCACCCCTGGTTGTCCCTGGGGTCTCACTGTGTGTGGAGGGGCTCCCATCCCTGCTGCCTCGCCTTTCACTGTGGGCTTCCTCCTCCCAGGACCAAGTGCCGGACATACCATGATGTCATCCCCATCTCCTGCCTCACCGAGTTCCCTAACGTGGTCCAGATGGCAAAGGTGAGGCTGCTGCTCCTTCATGCTGGGCTCCCTTTGGACACCCCCGGTGGGCACACAGCTTGGGGGCTGCAGCTCGGCCTCAGCACACCCTCGTCTTCAGCTCCGGGTCCTGCCCTGTGTACTGCAGCCCCAGTTCTGAGGTCCTGCCTCTCACGTCCTCCCACGATGTCCACGCCCTGGGGTCCTGTCCCCCGCCTGCGTGTTTGGCACTGTCTTAGAGCACTTTCAGAGGCAGAGGACCCCATTTCTCTGCACCCTCTCTGAGCAGCTGTCGCCCACAGACCTGCTTCAGCCTTGGTGGTGCCCTCTCCTTTCTGTGCTGGGCCCCCACTGACCCTGGCCTGGGAGGCCTGGAGGCCCCCCGCCTCCTCCTGGCCCCACCTTTAGGCGCCCCTTTATCTCCTCCTGCAGCTGGTGTGTGAAGATGTGAATGTGGATCGATTCTACCCTGTGCTCTACCCCAAGGTATGGCTGGGTCTGGGCCCTGCTCACTGAGGGTGGGTCACTAGGGCACTGAGCATTTATGGGCACCTGCTGTATGTAGGGTGTTTTTCCTAAGTTTCTCATTTTCTCCTCGCAATAACCCTGCAAAGTCTGCACTTTGTACAAGAGGAAACAGAGGCCCAGAAAGGTTCTGTGTTACCCGGGGGCGCAGATAATACGGGTCTGCATTTGAACCTAGTGCCGGCAGCCTTGGAGGCATGCCTTACATCTGGGAAGCCCTCACAGTAACCTGGGGCCCCTCCCAAGGGCAACTGGTGCTCCTAAGCCAGGGGGCTTCACTGGTCTTGCCTTCAGACCCCAGGGGGGCCTGGTGAGAGAGAATGACACCAGCACCTTCATCAATGCTGCCCCACCATCAGCAGCTGCATTTCCGGGCGCTGTGACAATGTGGGAAAAGGGTAGGGACTTCTGTCCTCAACAAGCCAGGGGGGCTTCCTGAAAGAGGTGGATCTTGAAAGACATGTAAGCCTTTAAAGATCTGACTGAATTCTAGAGCAAGATGCAGCCCCTGAGGGGTGGTGAGGTCCAGGAAAGGTCACTGAAGGGAAAGGCTTCAGAAATTAGATTCCATCTCTCAGTTACAGAAGAGGAAACTGAGGTCCAAAGGGAGGAGGAAAACTGGCTCACGGTCCCACGGCAAGTCGTTGGGACTGGGCCTGTTCTAGAATGATGAGGTTAGTTTACAGAGGAGCCCAGGAGGGAGCTGGGTGTTATAGAATGGAGCAGGGCTGGGGGCTCATAGGCAAAACTCAGGAGCAATGAGTTTGGGCTTTGGAACCTAACAGACCTGAGTTCAGGTTCTCTCTGCCTTGCAAGCTGTTGACCTTATACAAGTTACTTAAGCCCTGAACCTTGGTTTCTTCATCTGTAAAATGGGCACAGCAGGAATGTCTCTCTCCCAGGCTTGTTCTGAGGATTAAATGAGATGATGCACCTAGCGTGCCAGGCACAGTGCTTGGCACATAGCAAGAGTGATAGATGACAACTAGAAAAATAGTCTATTTCACCCACTGTCCTCTCCCCCAGGCTTCCCGGCTCATTGTCACCTTTGATGAACATGTTATCAGCAACAACTTCAAGTTCGGAGTCATTTATCAGAAGCTTGGGCAGGTGTGTTCGCCTCCTCCTCCCTGCCCCCCCTCCTACCTGGCCGTGTATCTGGGACCTCAGACCTTTGCTGGGGAAAGCACCTCTCCAGGGACTGTTTCCAGGGCTGCCAGAGGTCCTCCGTTCAGCTTTCAGTGGGGTGGGGCAGGGGCGGCTCGGGAGCTCCAGCTGCTCTCTGTGTCCCCAGACCTCCGAGGAGGAACTCTTCAGCACCAACGAGGAAAGCCCTGCCTTCGTGGAGTTCCTCGAATTTCTTGGCCAGAAGGTCAAACTGCAGGACTTTAAGGGGTGAGCCCTAGGGTGCGGGAAGCAACACAATCTGACCCAGGCCCCCGGGCAGGGAGGGAGCCCCGGTCCTGGCCCCATGGAGGCCTGGCCAGGGCTGGAGACTGAGCCATGGCCTGGGGGGCCTGGGGCAGGTTCCGAGGAGGCCTGGATGTGACCCACGGGCAGACGGGGACCGAGTCTGTGTACTGCAACTTCCGCAACAAGGAGATCATGTTTCACGTGTCCACCAAGCTGCCCTACACAGAAGGGGACACCCAGCAGGTAGCCTGGGCACCCACCCCCACCTGCTTTCCACCTGTCCTCCACTACCTGTCTGTTCGGTGTCCACCACATCAGGCTCAGTGGACCCTGGGATATAGAAGGGGAAAGTGGTCCAGCCCCCCTCCTATGGGCTCTAGTCGGGGCAGGGGAGACCAGCTGTTCTAAAGTTGTGAAAGCCTCAGTTTCCCCGTCTGGGGTAATGATGGCACCTGCCTCGTAGCTAGCGTACACGAGAGCAACTCCGACAGCGAGAGCGCAACACACACGAGTCTGTAATTGTGCAGGAGTGAAGGGCATTGTGGGGTCATGTGGGGGTGCTTAGACTTGGCAGAGGTGGGAGTCAGCGAAAGCTTTCAAGATAAAGTGCCTTTTAGGCTGCGAAGGAGCTGGAGGAAGTGGGAGGAGTGTTCCAGGTGGAGAGAACAGCTTCTGTAAAGGCTGGTGCAGGGCGTGTGCTGGGAGCTGAACTCGGAAATGTGTCACCTTGCTCTGCTTCCTGCAGAACTGTCTACCTCGCCCCGCCCCCACCTCACTCCACCGCTCCCCCTCCCCAGGGGGATAAAACGGTAATGTGAGAAAAATGACTTTTACCGTCATTTTCTTTTAATAAGATTTTCTGTTCATTTTAACAAATGAACTTACCCTGGGAGGAACTTGCTTGTTCAAGAGGGGCTATGTTTGGGGCATTTAGACAGGAGAAGGGCCGAGAGGTGGGGCCTGGGGACCAGGAGCCCTGGGTTCGAGTCCCCTAACTCATTGTAGGGCCTTGCAAGTCACTTTTTTCTTGGCCTCAGTTTCCTAAAATGTCACAGGGTTCCAAGAAAATAAAAATAATTTTAAGACAAGTTTTTCACCACACTTTTGGAGGGAGCAGCGAATCCCAAGACATAGCCTCTGCCTGCCCGGAGCCCTCCCACACCCTGCGGGACCCTCCCCTGCCCACGGCTCTCCCTGGCCAGGCTGTGAAGGCCCGTGGCCCTGTGCTCAGTTGCAGCGGAAGCGGCACATCGGGAATGACATCGTCGCTGTGGTCTTCCAGGATGAGAACACGCCCTTTGTACCTGACATGATTGCATCCAACTTCTTACACGCCTATGTGGTGGTGCAGGCCGAGGCGGGGGGGCCCGACTGCCCCCTCTACAAGGTGGGTGATCTCAGAGCCTCCCAGGGCATCAGCCCCAGCCCCAGACACAGCACCACCTCACTCACGATGAGGCCTTTCTGAGCCTCAGTTTTCCCAACTGTAAATAGGGGGACAGTCCTGAGTGAGAGCTCCAAGTCCCCCTCTTGCTCCAATGATGGAGGATTCCCATCCTGCCCTCTCTGCTCCCAAAGTTCCCCCCTCAAAGAGGTCAGTTAGCCTCCTCCCCCTTATCATCCCTGACAACTCCCGAGATCCTGCACCCCTTCCCACCACTCAAATTCAGGGCCCAGGATGGAGGAGCTGAAATCCTGGGGTTCATCCACTCAGTCAGCAGTCACTGAACAGCCCCCACCAAGGAGCAGGCCCTGTGCCCAGCAGGGGGCGGGATAGGGAGGTGAATTAGGAGTTTCTGGTGGGTGTGGGGACACAGGGACAGCTGCCCTCCCTTCCAGGTCTCTGTCACTGCCAGAGATGATGTGCCCTTCTTTGGGCCACCGCTCCCGGACCCCGCAGTGTTCAGGAAGGTGAGAGGCCACCCCCAGCCCCTGTCATGGGCAGGACTAAATGGGTGGGGGCTGGGGGGGCACATTCTGCCATACTAGGTCCTGAAGCCCCACTATGTGCCTGGGCAGCTGAGCTCCCCTAACTGTGCACCTGGGGCCTGGCTTTTCTGTTCATCTTAATGAAAACGGTGACTTTTTTTTTTTTTTTTTTTACAAAGTCACAGAACAAACTATATCATTGTTTTACATTTTTTCATAGCAGACTCTATGGCCTTTCCTTATTTCTATTATCTTCTTGACAGTCTTTCTTCTAAAATGTTTTGGGAGGGGGCACATGTCTCTCTCACCTCTCAGAAACCGCACTTACAGCTTTGGCTTCAGTCCCCCACAGACCAAGGCAGTAGGGGACCCCAACCCAGCCCTTTACATTGTGGGTTTCCTCTCCTGAGGGATGGGCAGCCATGAAGGGCATAGGGGGCCCTCACAGGTACCTGGGCTGGGGAGCTGGGCCCAAGGAGGTGCCCTGGGAGCAAAGAGGGCGACTTCTGGGCTCCAGCAGGGTGCGACTCCGGTACTGCAGCCTGACACAGGCTCAGCCCCTTGTCTCTGTGTTCGCCTGACCTCCCCCTTCTCTCCTCCACACTGGGGGCTCCCAGGGGCCTGAGTTCCAGGAATTTTTGCTGACAAAACTGATCAATGCTGAATATGCCTGCTACAAGGCAGAGAAGTTTGCCAAACTGGAGGTGAGGCTGGGCTGTTGGGACTGAGCCCCTTCCCCGGCTTAGAATTTCAGCCCTGCCCCCAGGGGAGGGAAATGCCGTGTTCAGACGGTGGCCTTAGGAGAGCTGCTGGACGAGTAGAGCTAGGGTCAGGGGAGAGGATGCAAGGTCTTTCTAGGGATGTGTGAGGAATGCCTGGGAGGGGCTGTGGGTGGGCAGGCTGGCACCGAGGGCTCCGTGGGGGAGGGGACAGTGGGGCTGGGGACTGGAGGCCAGCTCTTGAGGGGCCTGAGGGAAGCCTGGTAGGCTTTGGGGTGGGGAGGGTGGAGCCCAGGCCCACTCCCCACTCACTCAGAGAAGGTGGCGGGATTCGAACTGTGGGGCGAAGGGCTGATCACTGGGGTCTCACTGTCGGCCCGGCCGGGCCCACAGGAGCGGACCCGGGCTGCCCTCCTAGAGACGCTCTATGAAGAACTACACATCCACAGCCAGTCCATGATGGGTCTGGGCGGCGACGAGGACAAGATGGAGAACGGCAGCGGTGGCGGCGGCTTCTTCGAGTCTTTCAAGGTGAAAGGCCAGGTCTACCTGGGCTCCGAGGGCCGGGCACCTGGCCGGGGTGGAGCCCGGGGTGGGTTATGGACAAGGCATGGGGGTGGGGCTAGAGGCGGGCTCGCATTGGGGGTGGAGTTGGGTGGGGGCGTGGTCCAGGGTGGGGCTATGGACACGTGTGGGGGTGGGGCTGGAGGCGGGCTCGCGTTGGGGGTGGAGTTGGGTGGGGGCGTGGTCCAGGGTGGGGCTAGAGGCGGGCTCACGTTGGGGTGGAGTTGAGGGCGTGGCTCGTGGTGGACTTAGGCTTTTGGTGGGCTTAGACTTGATGTATTCTGTGGCAGGGTGGAGCTTCCAGTTGGGAGTGTAAGGTGGGGCTCTATTTTGGGAGGAGTTCACGGTGGGGGTGGGGCCTAGGCATGGGGGCGGAGGCTCTGGGAGTTCTGCTGATCGTTGGAGCTCTCTGGGTGGCAACAGGTGTCTCTGGTGCCAACGGTGGTCAGCAGGTGGACAAGAGAGGAGGAGAAGAGATCTTGGAGAGGAGGAGAAGAGGTCTTGGAGAGGAGGAGAAGAGGTCTTGGAGAGGGGTGTGAACCAAATGGCCATAGGAGAGGGACTTGGTCAGTATGACCAGCTTGTGCGCCCCACTGGCTGTTTCTGGGTTAGCTTAGTGTTAAGAGCACAGATTCCCTGGGTTCAAATGCCAGCTGTCACTTACCAGTTTGATCATTCCCTGAGTCTCAGTTTCTTTATCTGTCTGGTAGAGTAATGACAGTTTATACAATCGTTGAGGATTATTTGTAAAGCAGTTAGATCGGTGTAATAAAAGTTAAAATGCAAAATCCTAACCACTTACCTCAGCAACTGTTGTCCAAAGTGAGAGGCAGAGGAGGGAGTTCCTTTTCTCCTCAGATAGCGCCTGGAGTCCTCCAGGCCACAGATCCCCAGGCGGTGGCTGCTTTTCCACCGTCTTCTCCACTCACAGGAGGATTGCCCATCCTCCAAGGTGCTCCGCCAGGCCCGTTGGGCCCCACCCTCATCCCAGGCAGGCCACAAAGTTGGAGACGAGGGCTCACCTAGGGATTAGCCCAGCTGCCCAGGTCTGCCTGGGACTAAAGCAAACAGACCGTCTTTGAGAAAGAGACCTGAGAAGTGAGCCCTGCCTCTGCCCACTGGAGACAGGGCTGGGTAGGGTGAGCACTGGTCTGGGTGTCTTCTTTGAAGGAGGACGCCAGTGATCCCAGCGTCATGTGGGTGCTGGACAGTGGACCTGGATTAGGTCAGAGCCCACACTTAAGGATTTGGGTTTGACATATGGGTCCCAGACTTGCCTCTGCTTCGGTTTCAGCATGAGTGAAATGAGCATGGCAGGAGTGCCTGCCTCCCAGGGCCGATTGAATGAGGGAGCGAATGTAAAGTACCTGGCCCCATAGTAAGCATTCAGTATGGACTGGCTCAAAAAAGCGAGGGAGGGAGGAGAAGCGTTAAGAAGGTTTCCTAAAAGGGATAGATGGAGGGTTCTGGAGGGCTCTCTCTGCATGCTTTTGGCCATGGCCCATATTTTCTGCAGTCCTCACAACTACCACACAAGAGTCTCAGGCTTAGAGGAGTAAGTGGCTTGCCTTAGGTCACCCAGCAAGTTGGTGGCAGAGCCAAGGTCCAAACTACCCTTGGCACCATGTGGACCTGACTCTTGTGTGGCCCCCTTGGAAAGGACTTCCTGAGGTCACTCAGAGGGGCATTGGTAGGGAAGAACCAGATGCCTGGGTTTCCTTGAGGGGTAGGTGCTCATGAAACCTGTGCCTCCTCCACCCCCGCCCTCACCTTCACAGCGGGTCATCCGGAGCCGCAGCCAGTCCATGGATGCCATGGGACTAAGCAACAAGAAGCCCAACACTGTGTCCACCAGCCACAGCGGGAGCTTTGCACCCAATAACCCTGACCTGGCCAAGGCCGCTGGAATAGTGAGTGCGCTCCCCGGGGGCCTGCAGTCTCCCCTGCCCCCCGTTGTCTTGCTGTCTGAGGCTTGTCCATCCTGGGCTCTAGACTCAGTCTAGCCAGGTTCTCCACTGGGGGTCACATGCTCAGGCCATGACACTGTGGTGCTGGGAGCCTTCGGTCTCCTTCCCAGGCCCTCGGCCCTCCACTCATCCCAGCCCCTTACTCAGGTGTGACTTCGGGTCCGTTCTGGGGCAGCCTCTATACCACATTCCTTACTGAGCACCCACTGTCTATCGTGTGCTGGGAATTGGGCTGCTGTGTGGGCACCTACTTGAGTTTCTGTGAGCACCTACTGTGTGTCAGGTCCTGGGCTGCTGTGTGGGCATAAACTCTGTAAGCACCTACTGTGTGCCCAGCCCTGGGCTGTTGTGTGAGAACCTTCTGTATGTCAGAAAATGGACTGCCGAATGAACACACAATGTGTGCTAAGCCTGGATATCAGTGAATACTCACTGTGTGTCCGGAAGTGAGCTGCTGTGTGAGCATTTCCTCTGTGAGCACCTACTTCTGTGTGCCTGGCCCTGGGCTGCCATGTGAGCACCTCCTGTGTGCCAGGGCCTGTGTGTCCGTGGCTACCTAGTATGTGTTGGGGATTGGGCTTCTGTGTGAGCATCTCCTTAATGAATACCTACTGTGTGATTACTTGATGTCTGCCAGGCTCTATAGGATTCTGCTACTAATAATACTCATGGCTGGGGCTGCTGGGCACACATGATGAGTAAGGCCTTCAATTGTGGGCCTATCTGCTTTCCGCCACCTCGTGGCCACCCCTGGCACTGCACCCACTGCTCTGCTCCCCACTCTGCATCCATCCTTCTTCTTTATCCATTCATCCACCCTCCATCGATCATTTATTGACTGTCTGCTGCATGCCAAGCCCTGTGCTCAGTGCTGTGAGACTGTGTCACTTGTGGTGAGAGGGACCTTCCACCCCAATCCTGCCCCATGATCTGGCCTAGCCAGGGAACAAGGCAGGTCCTCTGATGTACAGCAGTCACCAAGCCCAATGTCATTGGATAAGAAAGCCCACCCTCCCTACAACCCAGATTTACAAGCCATTCCCTTCCTCGCTGGAGTGGCCCAGCCACCTGTGGGGGGCTGCAGAGGGCCCGGAGACAGGGCCAGGCCAGCAGCACCTACCATGGCAGTAACCAGACCCATTTCTGTTTTTGTTTTTGCACAACTCTCCCCTCTCTTCATGTCGCTTCCTTTTCCTTCTACTCTCTCCTCTTTCCTTGTTTTTCCTTCCCCGTCTCTCTTCTCTCTTCTCCCCTTGGCCTCTCTCCTCCTTACATGTTTATATTTCTTCTGTCCTCTGACACCTGTCTTTTTACTCCCGCTCTTCCTCCTCCCTTCCACTATTCTCTCCCTTGCTTCTCCCTTTTTGCCTCCCCATTTCTGTCTGTCTCCCCCTTGGGCCATCTGTGTGTCTGTCTGGATTCCACCCTGTGCCCCTCTCGTGGGCTCCCCCGTTGTGTTCCTGTCTCTGGGCTCTGTATAATCATCTACCTGTCACTCTCTCCTTCCTCTGTCCTCTGTCTCTCTTCCCACGCTCCTCTTCTTCCCTCTCCCGGCCTCTTCTTTCTTTCCCAACCCCCTGCCCCCCCCCCCCACCTTCTTGGCCTTTCTGTCTCTCCTGTGTCACCTCTGTGTCCCCTCTCCCGCCACCTCCGTCTCTCTCACTCTGTCTGTCTGTCTGTCTGTCTCTGCCCCTCCCTCTGCTGCTTGCCAGTCATTGCTTATTCCTGGGAAAAGTGCGAGTAGATTCGGACGCCGGGGCAGTGCCATAGGCATAGGAACCGTGGAAGAGGTTGTCGCCCGCGGGGCTGCCGGCTCTGGAGGCTGCCTGCACGTGCTGCTCTCTGCTCGCTCTCAGGACGAAGGCCATATTGGGGACGTTGCCCCCTCCCCCGGGACAGGCCCCAGGGCATGTGGGTCGAGTGCTGGCAGCTCTGGTGGCACTGAGCACCTGCTTTGGGGCCTGGGGCCTGTGCCAGAGCCGGTGCCCCCTGCCAGGAGCTTCTGGCCCTGCCCTGGCCCCTGGGACCCTGGCCCAATCCCTGCCAGGATCCAACACCCAACCACCCTATGCCCAGCCACACGTCCCCCAATATCGCCAGTTCTGCATGAAGCTCCATCCCTCTCCTCTGACCTGACTCCCCCTCCCCACCATGAGTTGGCCTGGGGGTTCCTGCCCTCCATGCCTCCCTGGGGTCCACCTTCCTGATTCCCCAGAGAAGATGGGGGCATGCTTCTGTGTATGTGCAAGCCGAGGGAGGGTATCGGTCAACTGCTGGCCCAGAACCTCCCCCAGCCAGTTTGGAGGCTCTGAGGCTGGCATGGGGTAGGGGTTTGGGTTGCTATGCCCTCTCTCTCCCCACTGACCGTAGGCTGCAGGCCCCAGGAAGCCCTGGGGTGGAGAGGGGCAGCCGCTGTGAGGATTGGCCTCTCCCATCCCAGCCCGAGCGGCTGCCAGCCTGCTCTGGCCCCGCCCGGCTATGTGGTCTCGGGTGTGGGGGTCCTGTTGCCCTCTCTGAACTGGGGGGCTTTCTCTGGATGGACATTTCCTCTTGTTCTTTCTCGCTCATTGCCTCTGCTTCAGGGCCTGGAGCAGCAGGGCTCAGGGTGGCGTGGGGGGGCACCAGGCTCCTAGGGCCGGTAGGCACTGAGTCGGGGACCTCTCCTCACAGTCACTGATTGTCCCTGGGAAGAGCCCCACGAGGAAGAAGTCAGGCCCGTTTGGCTCGCGCCGCAGCAGCGCCATCGGCATCGAGAACATACAGGAGGTGCAGGAGAAAAGGTGGGTGGGCTGGGCAGCTGGGAAGGCTGTGTGTCTCTGACCCTTCCCTGGCCCCCTTCAGTGTCAGAGCAAAGCAGGCAGGAGGGAGTGCCCACGCCTGTGCCCCTCTGACCCACACCAGCTCGTAACCTAACGTTCTGCCGGCTGCTGGGCCCCACCGTGCACGGTGCTGGAGGTCAGCGGCTCAGGGCCTTGCCCAGCTCTCACGGCCAGCGATGGGCAGAGCGGGGTTCAGCTAGTCTGTGGGGTCTGTGAGGGCACCTGTGTGGGCAGGGGTGGGCCGCAGGGTAGCTCCTGGGAGCCGAGGCTAGTTCCTGGCTGTGAATCCCATCTTTACCACAGTAGGGCTGTGTGACCTTGGGAAAGTCACTTACCTCTCCGAGCCTCACTGTCCCAGTCTGAAAAATGAGAATGAGAACACAGCCAACACCACGGGGCTGGTGCAGGGTGCAGTGCGGTGTGGATGAAGCAGGGTGGCGGGCGCCCTGAGGCTCAGGAATGGCGCTGGCACCGTCCTCGCGACCCCAGGAGCCCAGAATCCTGCAAGTCCTGGCTTCGAGTCGGCTCTGGCATGTCCTAGCTGTGCATCTCTGGCAGGTTGCCTCCCATCTCTGGGCTCCTGTTTCCTGACCCGTAGCAGAGGACAGCTATACCTGCTCCCATGGAGAGGGGTGTGGGGTGTCCTGCCTTATGTAGGTTCTCTGTGGTACCTGCCAGGCCTGGCCAGTTAGCCGCAAGGACTGCTGTGGGTTTGCCCGAGGATACAGAGTATGGGTATGAGGCAGGAGGCGCCTATGGCCTCTCACCACCTGGGCCTCATTCTACCCTGATGCCAGGCCCAGTGCTGAGCCCCCCCCATGTGCCCCGCAGGGAGAGCCCTCCAGCTGGCCAGAAGACACCTGACAGCGGGCATGTCTCACAGGAGCCCAAGTCAGAGAACTCCTCCACGCAGAGCTCCCCAGAGATGCCAACGACCAAGAACAGGTGGGGCTCGGGGCTCGCTGGGCTGGGACTGCAGTGGTGGGCTCATTTCCCCATCCCCACCTGGGCCTGGGGCTGCAGGAGTGTTGACACCACCACACCAGGCGTCGGGGAGGCTGGGCACTCTCAGGTTGTCCTTTGACACACACTCGCCACCAAACTCTGGAATACATAGAGTGACAACCCAGTGTCACATAACCTAATAAGCCATTTCCATGTGGTTATGGTCAGAGGAAAACTAAGCAGGGGGTGCAGTGAAGAATGACTGTGTGGGAGGGCCAGATGGGGGCTCAGGGAAGACATTGACAAAGGGGTGAAGTTTGGATTGAGGGCTGAGTGAGGAGTCAGCCCTTCAGAGGGCAGAGGGTTCCAGCCAGTACAAAGGCCCTGAGGCCTGCTTGAAGGATGGAAGAAGGGCAGTGCCTTGGAGCCGAGTGAGTGAGGGCCCAGGCCCATGTGAAGTGGTTGGGGCAGGGGCAGGGGGAAGCGGGAGGCCAGCAAGCAGGCTGCCCTCCATGCAGCACCTTTTGGCTGAGCACCTCTCTGCTGGCTCTGGGGCAGCCCGAGGACTCGGCCCGGGATGAAGAGTCAGGCAGGTGGACAGAGAGCAGCAGAGGGTGATGGACGGTGAGAGATGGCATGCGGGACCCAGAGCAGGGAGGGCCTCCCTGAATTGGGGGCCCTTGGCTAATTTTTGAAAGACGAATTTGGTTTTGGGGATTTGAGGGAGAGAGTAAGACCCCCACAGGAGACACACGAGTCTGAGCATGGAACACAACTCAGAGGCTGAGAGAGCAGACCGGGGACTTGGAAGGCCTGGGTCCTGTCTCTTCTCCCACCTATGGCTGGGTGGCTTGGGGCTGTGTGCCCACCCTCTCTGTGCCTTGGGGGCTCCTCGTCTGTAATAATGAGCAAGGAGGTGGTTCAGGTGAAAGCACGTGGAACAGCAAATGTGCCCTGGGCGGTGGTCTCACTGGTTGTCATTGAGCACCGAGCCAAGGGGATTAGACGTTATCCAGGGCAGTGGGGCCCCCAGGGGTCTGAGCAGGGGGGCACATGACCAGATCCACGTATGAGGAAGGACAGTGCGCAGGGCGGCTTAGAGGCCTGGCGAGCTACAGAGCAACCACGCAGGCGTCTCCCTGGCTGGGAGGGCTGCGGACCTGGGTGCTGGCCCGGGGGGCCCTGGGTGGGTGCTGGCTGATGGGTGCTGTCTGCGGCAGAGCGGAGACTGCAGCCCAGAGAGCAGAAGTGCTGAAGGATTTCTCCCGCTCCTCGTCCAGCGCCAGCAGCTTCGCCAGTGTGGTGGAGGAGACAGAGGGCGTGGACGGGGACGACACAGGCCTGGTGAGAGGCCGGGGTGGGGGTGCTCCACCACAGACCAGAATGGGGGTTCTTTGGACCCTAGAGACACTTAGGGTAGAAGCATGAGCCTAAGGTGTGGCTGAGGTGTGATCAGGGGACCCAGCCAGAAGGAATAATGCAGACTAACCCTTCCCTACTCTGACCTTCCATGCTCCCCGGTGTCCCCCCACACACAGCCCAAGCTCTGAGACCTGTGAGGTCCCTCCCCCGCCCCTCCTCCTCGGCCTCATCTCTTCCCACTACAGCATTCTGCACTCCTTACTCTCCCCTGGGCCTTTGCACGTGCCATTTTCTCCATCTGGGGTCCCTCCCCCACTCCTCCTTCCCCTTCGTCGGACTGAGTCCCCTCATCCTTGGCTCAGCCTCACACCACCTCCTTTGTAAGCCTTTCTGGTTTTCGAGCCCCAGGGTAGTTGGGACTCCCGCCTTATGCTCTCACAGACCCCTGGGCTTGGCCCTTAGCACCGTTTGTCATTCTTCACTCAGCACACCTGTTCCAAGTGTCTCAGGTACAGCAAGGAACAGTGCGGACCAGGCCCCGCCTGCTGGGACCTAGAGTCTGAATTACAGTAGTCTCTTCACAGTCTGTCGATGTCTCTCGGGCTTGGCCCAGTGACTGTTTGTTGAATGAATGAATGGTAGGGTGTGGTGTGTCCTGTCCCCACTCTGTCTTCCTGTGGTCTCCCTGTGCAGACAGGCAAGGGTGGGGGTTGTGGACTGGAGGAGGGCCGAGGTAGCTTGGAGGGCGAGGGGAGCCCGGCCAGTGCCATGGCCGAGGGCTGACCTCCCTCTTGCTCTCCTCCCTCCATCGCCAGGAGAGCATCTCGTCCTCAGGGACTCCCCACAAGCGGGACTCCTTCATCTATAGCACGTGGCTGGAGGACAGCGTCAGCACCACAAGTGGGGGCAGCTCCCCAGGTACAGGCCAGGAGCAGCCTCCCCGCGCCAAGCAGGGCCATTCTTGGGGCAGCAGGGGGACAAGGCTGGGCGCGGAGGGTGGAGACCACTTCTCATGCCCCAGGTGGTGGTATGTAGGGGACAGTGGGTGAGTCATCATTCAGCCAAAGATGACTGGGTGGCTTGGAGGGCTGGTGGCTTCTGGAAGGGTCTTGGAGGATGATGGGGAGGTAAAGAAGGGAGTTAGGGTGGGGCTCCGTGGGGGAGGGACTTGGCGGAGTTGGGGAGCACCAACCAGTGCCCACCACCCATCCATGTCCGTCTCCCTGGTGCCTCCCCGCGGCCAGTGAGGTGGCTCCCTCCTGCCCCCCTCCCCAGGCCCGTCGCGGTCACCTCATCCAGATGCCGGCAAGTCGGGGGACCCTGCATGTCCGGAAATCAAGATCCAGCTGGAAGCGGCTGAGCAGCACGGTTCCCAGCTGGTACGTGCCGTGCAGAGGGGAGACAGGGCTGGGGCTGGACCGAGAGGTCCCCCCAGGCCAGGAGGGTTGGGCTCATCCAGCCTGGGCCCAGCCAGTGACTTCTACTTCCTGTGTCCTCTGCTCCCGTCCCCATCTGCGCTGTCTCTGCCTCGCACCATTCTCTGTCTGTGCAGGGCTGTTAGCCAGGCTCCCCTCGGAAGGTGACTGAGCAGGTTAGACCCAGCCCTCAGCTTGTGTTTGTGGGGCGAGGGTGGGCGTGGGCAGGCAGGTGGGCCAAAGCCTTCTTGTTCCTCTGTCCCCTCTCTGGGCTGAGAGGTTTGTGTCTGAGTTCAGATCCTCTGCCACTCAGATAATGAGTTACTTGGCAGGTCATTGGCCCCTCGGTGGGCCTCAGTTTCCTTATCTGTGCAATGGGGCTAATGAATGCGGCCTCACTTCTGCCCCTGAGTTGCTGAGAGGATTTGACGGGAGCCTGAAAGGGACTTGGGAATTGCTGGGAGGGGTGGGTCTGGGGGTTCCCTGCGGAATGGAAAGACCCAGAGCCTGGGACTCCGAAGGTGGGCCCTGCGTCCCTGCTTGGTGGTGTCTCCATCTCCCTCTACCCCGCAGATGAGGCCGAAGAAGCACAAGGTGAAGATGCTGTGTCAAATCCAGGCAGATGGGACCTCTGCCCCGCAAGGCCACCACCAGCCTGTGGGTTGCCCCCTGTCTCCCCAACCCTCCCTTTGGCCCACCAACTGGGCTGTCTCTGCAGGGCAGAGCCATCCAGACCTGGGAGCAGGGAAGCTACTGGCATCCTCCTCACCCCACCCCACCCCCAGTCTGGGGGCCCAGGCTGGGGCAGGGAGTGGTCAGTTGCAGCAAGACTCTATGCCTGACTTGCCCTGACCTGGGCCCTCCATCACACCTTGGTGCCCCCCAGACTCAGGGGAGCACGGTGCGGGGCTGAGATCTCTCAGTGCGTACAGAGCCACAGGCAGCGGGACGTGAGATGTGATGGGATGAGCCCTGGGCTGGGAGTCCTGAGTCCTGGCTTCTAATCTGGGCTCTGCTGTGTGTCTCCGGGCTCGCTCTCCCTGGGCACCTGTGCTACAAACGGACACGATTATTTCAGAGGTCACTGAAGACTGTGATTCCATGCTCCTGCCCCAGAATGGGGGACTAGCCTCCCATCACTTTACCCTGCTTCTTGGGGTCCCTGGGACCCCAGGTGGGCTGAGGGACAGGGAGCTGGCTGTGCCTATTGCCCCTCCTGGACCCTCAAGCCCTACCACAGACCTTCGGGTGCCCTGTCCACTGCCTCCACGTGACAGACAAGTGGCCCCCTTCTGGGAGGGAGGGGAACCGACCCGGCTCCCCAGCCAGCACCCAGCTTCACCTCTGCCATTCCCTGTTCTCCGCACTGCAGGCTGAGGGGTCTCAGCTGGCCTGGAGTTACAGGTCTCGCCTTTGTGACCCCCATTCCCGTGGAGGGGGCAGCCAGGCATAGCTGCTGTGAGTCCACACTTGTGTGTGTCTGTCCACACTTTTTAGGCGCCACGCCAGAGGCCAGCCTTCCCGCCCCAACACCCATTAGGGAAGCCCCCGTGGCCGTGTGTATGTCGGTAACAGTTGTACAAAATAAATTCTATTTATCGCTATTGTACCCCGAGATGGACCTAGCTTTGCATGAACCCTGCCCAGATCGACCCCATTCAGGTCCCACCAGTGCCAAGGTGGAGGGGAGGCCTGTCCCCAAGGGGCACCTCCAAGGCCACACCACAGGCTCTGTAACCACCGTGGCTTCCTCCGCACGGCGCCACTCTTCCCTCCACCGTCCCCTGCTCCACAGGAGAACGTGGCTGTAAATCGGGCCCACCCACCTTTGAGTCCCGGCGCCATCTCCCAGCTGGGTAGCTTCTCTGAGCCGCGGTTTCCACGGTTTCCACTTGTTAGACGGGAGCAACAGTGCTTCTCGCAGGGTTGGTTCTGTGTCTGGCGCACAGTGGGCCCGCAGTGATCCACTGCCCTCTTGCTCAGCAAAGCCCAAGAATGCCCTCTTCTGGCCACCAGGAGGCGCCGAGGGATCGCTTACTGGGACAGTTGGGGGTCGCGTGGTGCAGCGCGGGAGGAGCTCAGAGCTGGGCAGTTCCGATCAAGGGTGATGAGTGACGGGTGTGCTGAGCAGGGGCCCAGCCCCGGAGAGGGAGGCACCGGGAAGACGGGAGCAGTGCCGCCTGAGCATCCTGGGAGGGCTTAGCCCCCGGGGAGGGGAGAGAGTGCTTGGAATTGGAAAGGTGGTGAACAGGTTTTTTTGTTTGTTTTTTAAAAAATTGATTTTAGAGAGAGAGGGAGAGAGAGATAGAAACATCAATGAGACAGAACACTGGCCACCTCCTGCATGCCCCCCACTGGGGATTTGGTCCAGAGCCTGGGCACCTGCTCTGACTGGGAACTGAACCAGCGCTCTGGTGCACGGGTCCACACGCAACCACTGAGCCGCACCGGCCAGGCGGTGGCAAACAGTTCTGAGTGATGGCATGGCTGAGGGGACAGGGAAATGGAGAGAAATAAGCCACGTGGGCTGGAATGCCAGGCAAGGGGCTAGGGCTTTGTGCTGAGGGCCACAGGGAGGCACGGAGGACTTAAAGCGGAGCGCCATGACGAGAGGGTAATGCCAGGGCAGGAGGGGAGGCTCAGGGTGGCCAGGAGGACCAGGAAGCGTCGGGAGGCCTGAGCATCTGGACAAAGGCCTGAGGGGTGTGGGCTGTGGGAGGGGTGGAGGAGGCCCTCAAGGGTCCACCTGGGAAGTGGGTGAGTGGGGAGGGGAGACTGAGGTAGGAGCGCGGGAGGAAGAGCAGGGTGAGGTGGGTTGGAAGACACTGGCTTGGAGGTAGGCACAGAACTGGGTTGCAGTGGGATCACCCATGCCCTGGCCTTCCCACCCCTCCCCGCCACCAGCCCACACCTTCCCAGGACGATGCTGAGTGTCCCAGGGGCTGCCATGCTTTTCCTGACAGGGACCCTCTCTGACCCTCAGATGTCCGGGCCACCCAGGGCTGTGACTCCCACCCAAACTCCAGTCCCATCCACCTGAGTTTGGCTCTAGGCTGCCCTGGGCTCAGTGGGCCCCCTCCTAACCCTAACCCCTCCCTGCTCAGACTCACCCCTGTTCTCTGGCCCTCAGACCCCCTCCCAGGTCCTGGCTCTTTGGAACTGCCTCAGGCCCTGGCCTGTCTCCTCTCCTCCCACCCCGAAGGGTCAGCAGACACAGTTCAGCACCAAGGTCAAGAGCTTGGCTTTGAGGTCACTCACCTTCTAGCTGTTAATTTGGCTCTTTGGGCCTCCGTCTCCTCATCTGTACAGTGGGCATGCTAATAGTCCTGGCCTTGGTGCCCTGACGTGAGGATTCAGTGAGGTGATACTTCGTAAAGTTCTTGGTGCGGCCCTGGCCTATGGTGGGCTCCATAGTGTGTGTGTGGGGGCGGTGATGAGCCACGAATGAGGCCCACTTCCGAAACCCACCTCGGAGGGTGTAGGGCCAGTGCTCAGCGTGGAGGGTGGAGTCCCTGGTGCCGGCCAGGCGCAGAGGTTCGACCTGAGGTTGGGGATGGGAGATGGTTTTCTGGGGGTGGGGGGATTGGTGATCCTTTTATAAGAGAGCTTGGGCACCCCACTTATTGCCCTTTATGATGTGCCCCACCCCATGGCTTTGACCTACAGCTGAGCTGGAGTTCTGGGATCTGTCGTGGCAGACGCAGGGGCCCTTGGCGAGCAGAACATGCCTTTGCCCTAGGTTGTGCCAGTCCCTGTCTGCAGGCCTCTGGGCTGGGCTCCGCCTGGGCGCCCACCCCACCCACCGTCCTCTGGGCTCCCAGGTGGGGCTGGGGGAGGCTGAGGGCGAGTCTGGCCTCTGGGACCAAAGTGTCCAGGGCTGTTTCTCTTGTGCCCATGCCAGCTCCGTGCTCACCCTGGGTCTGAGGTGGGGAGGGCGAGCCAGGACACCGCCCCGAGGCTGGAATTAGGGCTTGGGCGGGGGGCACCGGGTTCCGGGAAGTGCTGGACTCTGCTTGGAAATAACTCTGGTGGTGGAAACAGCAGCCAGAGGTTTTTCCAGACACAGGAGGCAAGAGGCCTCCCGTGCAGGGACTTGGGTGTTTGGCTAACCTGGCATCCCCATCTCTTTGCCTTAGACCTGTCCCTCCAGGCCTCAGCTTCCTCGCCTGTAAAATGGGGACAAAGTTTACCTATTGCTGTGAAGAGGCTGTCGTGGCCTCTAAAGGATCTGACGTAGAACTCATGCCCGATAGGAGGGGTCCTCCCTGTCCCCCAGCAGCTGGGATTGTCCCTGGACCTCCATGGCTAACCCTGGGGCCACATTGTCAAAGAGACAGCCACAGGCACAGGCCCGCCCAGTGCCAGGGGACTGGGACCTGGGTGTTCTCTGCTCCTGAGGCCACAGGGGTGCTTAACCAGGGACCCTGGAATGTGGAGGTCCCTCCCTGCACCCGCCCTACCACAGGGACAGCCAGGGACGGAGTCTCCTGAAATAACCAGATCTGGTTAGCGAGGCTAATTTTAAAAGCCACTCTGGCTGCCCATGGGCCCTTCTGGGAAGCCCTGAATGTCCTTGTGTTTGTCCCTGGGAGGCAGGGCAAAGGGAGAGCAGCAGGACTGGGGAGGATGCCCACCCCTGGCTGCCAGTGCAGGGGACCCCAAGCTGCCTCCCAGGGTCTTCCTGTCCAGGACCTAGAGCTCTAGGGCCCAGCCTCAACCGCAGGCCACTCAGCAAGCCCAGGTGGGCTCCTTCAGCTCTGTCTCTGTCTTGGCTTTCTCCCGTCAATCTGCTCTCTCTCTATGACCCTTATCTCTGTGCCCCTGCCTCAGTCTCTGGCGCACGCTGTCCCTCTCTACAGCTGTGGCTGTCCCACCCTAGGTCCATCGCGCAGGGGGCCCGGCAGCATTCCCAGCGTCCACAGGCTGGACTGTGCGCGCCCGTAGGGGCAGGTGTCCACCCGGAGCTGGGGTCGCAGGCAGGGCGGGCGGGGCAGCAGCTCCGGGGCCAACAGGAGCTACGACTGAGCAGGCAGGGGCCACATCCAGGCACGACCTGGGCCAGCTGGTCAGGCCAGGTGACAGCAGAAGGAATGAGCTCCTGGGTAGGGTCACCCGATTTAGCAAGTAGAAACACACGGAGCCCAGTTAAGTTTGAATTTCAGATAAACAAGGAATAATTTTTAGTTTAAGTATACCTCATGTAATATTTGGGACTTAAACTAAAAATTATCCCTTGTTTATCTGAAATTCAGGTTTAACTGGGCACCTATATTTGATCTGGCACCGCTGTCCAGGGCGGCTCTGGAGGGAGAGGAGAGGTTTGCTAGCCCGGGAGTCTCCGCCTGGTGGGGCACAGCCGTCCCTGGGGAGTCAGTCTGGTGGGGGAGGCACAGCCCCTGCCCACAGGGAGCTTTCAGTTTTCTGGGGATGGGGACAGTCCCCCGGAGCACGGATGGGCACACGACACAGACACCAGTCACCTCCTCAGTGGAACCATAGACATCAGGAGGGAGGGTCCGAGTGTGTTCTCTGCTGAGCCCTAGGGCCTAACCCATGGTCTGACACATAATAGAGGCTTCATAAATATTTGTTCAAGGAATGAAAAACCTGTGGTGGTGAGGGGGGCACCTGGCCAGCAGGGGGCTCCAGCACCCTACTTCCCAAGCTCCTTGGAACCAACCAGAGGGTGCCCTGCCTCTCCCCACCCACGGAGGCTCCCCAAAGTGAGCTGCAGAGGGGATGAGGAGAGGCCAGCTTCTGTCCCACCCCACACCCGCCCGGATCCCCATGCCAACTCCCGGTGCTGCCTGGGCAGGGTGCAGGTAGGGGTGGGGACCAGGGCACAGTGACCTCAGGCTTCTGACACTGAGGTTGGGACTAAGGTGGGGAGGGCAGGCCGAAGACAGTTCTCAGTGCTCTTCGGGGGCATTTAGACAGCCAGGGGGGTTCCCAAGGCCCAGAAAGTTGTGGATGCTTGTCTGGGGGGAGGTAAGATGGGCCTTTTCCTGCGGTCCATTAATCTCAGGGTGTCCCTGGAGGGGGCCCTCCCATCCCCCCAGGGAAGAATCCCTGAATAGACTTTCCTCACTCGTTCGCTCCCTCGTCCGCCGACCCCCTCAGCCACTGTCACCGCTCTCGAGATGACCCTGCTCTGCACCTGTGCCGAAGGATCTGGGCAGCTGGTCTGTGCCAAAGGAACACCTGTTCCAGTACCAGCACTGCCACGGCTCCCCGCTTGACCTTGGGCAGGCACTGACCACTTAGAACCTCAGTTTCCCCTTTTCTCCAGTGGGGGGAACGCAGGCAACTCCCTCACGGGGCTGCTGTGAGAATGTGAGCCGGTGCCCTCCCTCCATGAGTGCTTCAGAAGGGAGCAGTCATAATCCTGATTAATACTATCATCAGTCTCATTCAGGGCCCCGCCGAGTGGGCCGGGAGTGGCCAGCTGGCCCAAGGCCCTGGCTCCGCGGCGTGTCACACGGGGCCGTTCTGGCAGGTCCGCTTCCTCCCAGCTTCAGCCATGTCAGCCCCGATCTTTCGTTTTCAAGGAACGTCGGCTCCTTCAAGGTGCCTCTAGCTCTGGATTCAGGGAAAAGCAAGAGGT